AAGCCAAGCTTAGAAGTTTGCAATTTTTTTTTACCCGAAGCCCGATGATCCAGCCGAACTTCAACTTCCTTCGTCTATTTGTTTGTCCCTGGTCATTCCAGACCATTCTGAAGCTTGGAGACGTTAGTGTTATTTTGCAGTGTTTAGAAAACCAGTTCCAGCCCCAAAACTAATATTTGGTGAAGTCAGGTACTTTTTTTTGTTAAATTTTTTTTAAAGAAAAAATAGACATTTATCATTAATAATTGCTTTCATGACAAGGTGAAAAATTTGTAATAAGTAAAATTATAAAAATTAGGATTTGGCTAACTGTCATAATAATTATTCTTATACACATAACTAACCATAAGTTTTGAATTTGTTTTTTTTTAAGTTGACCTTAATCTAAACTGCATTGAAAGATCTATATGATTTCAATTTTGTTTTTTGTAATTATCATTTGTTTTGTAACTGTTTGTGGTACACATAATTAAAGGTAAAATTTTGTTGTCTTAACTTTTTGTTTATTTTTTTTTTGAGTAACCCTTTTTGAGTTTATTTGAAAAAGATATGTTTTTTATGTTTTGATTTTATTTTCTAATTATTTCCCTAGTTACAACTAGTGGTTGTAATAGGCATAATTAGGCACCTCAAGTGGCGCCCTATATTAAATTCCTTGAGGTGTTTCCTGTTTATTTTTATTTTGTTTGTCCAAGAGCCCTTTATTTCTTTTTTTGTAGTTCCCCCATTCCAATGCCCTTATCTTTTACTTATCCACGACCCCAGCTCTCCTACGAAACCCTGAGTGTCCGTTCGCACAAGTAACGTATATTTTGCTTGCCCTATCTTCACCCCCAATAGTTTCTCCCCCAATTTTCTGCCCCTCATATTAATGCCCCTGTGGTAGGCAAAAATATTATCGTTACAATATTACATGTTTTACAATGAAAGACCCATGTTCTAGCTCAATTACCTAAAAAAGTTAATACTTAATAAATCATTTATGATAAGTAAACGATATTGATGTGTATTAAAAACGAAATTATTGTAAAATATGCACTAGAGAAACATGCATAGGTTAGAATTTTTGATCTCCTTCAACTAAGTGATGAGCGGCAAATACCGACAAACTAGTCTAAATTTAACTGAAACGCAAAATTTAGACATTTAGAAATTATGAAAGAAACAGACATGACAAAGATAAAAAACAAAGAAGCAGCCCACTCAATGTGTACCAACCCATCAGCAGAATGTATCAGGTTTTGGTGGCCAATACTAAACGAAGAAGTCAACAACAAGAATAGACCAATAATAGTGGTCTATTCTTATTGTTGATTCGCACAAACGCATATAGAACCAACACATAATGCAGAAACACACAGAATAATCGAATTTGAAGTTTCATACATTCAATTTTGAAATAGCATAAACTTGTTTGGTTATACACCCTTTTTATCAAAATTTTAAATAATCTTTTTTTGAAAACGATTTCCGGATTGGAAATCGAAAGTCAATGTTTAAATTAAAAATGTAGTTTTCAATACAATCAATTGTGGCTTAAACCCATAAAAAAAGAATTGTTAACTTAAATATTCGATATTTCCAACAAGACACAGTCTCGTCTCACTTCAAACTAGAATTCCGTAATTATCTGAAAGTGGACGGAAGGGAAGAAAATAATGGGCAACATCGTCGCGTCGTCAGGCTTAACACCGCGCAATTTTTCCTTGTAGAAGTACTCACAAAAAATAAAGAATTTGCCATCCGATTAGGTACATTGAATACTTAGAAATATTGAATACTTGAAAATAAAAATTCAATTTTTTTTCAGACTCAAAAAATCTGTTCCACCGTAATAAGCGGTGTCATTTCTGCATTAAGAAAGGTGGTCGGTAGTTCGAACACAAAATGTAACATTTAAACCGTAATTAGTTTTGTATCTAAATAATCAATCAACTAAACAATGTTTCGTATACTGTTCCTTTCGTTCTGTTTAGTGTGAAAGTCAGGTAACTAAAATCTGCCGATTCCTGTTTATCTAATCAATTAATAGATTGTAAGACGTGAAACGTCGCAGATAAAGAGTCGTATATTTCATACTCAAATAAATATGTATAAAATTATTTCGATAACACTAAGAGAAATATTTTATAAATCTTACAGTTCTTAAAAAGCCTTCTTAATCTTTCTAATGTCAACAGTAACAAGCTATTGCTAAGATCACAGGAATTTGGAAGAATTTGAGAGCACTATAGGCACGCTGATCTATATGTGTTATGTGTATTTTGGGTCGAACCAGAACCACGACATACGTCACGAATGCAACTGATCAAACTCATTTTTTTGTGTCATTATTAGACCAGGAATTTACCCTGAGCTTGGCATTCTACTTTGTGATTATTTTAGTAATAATAATTGACTTATCTTCTTTCTTAAATATGTCGGGAGTATTAATAAAAAAATTAAAAAATGTATGAATTTTTAAAAAATCCTTTTTTTCTACTGTCCTTACTTATAACCTTAAAATGATTCATTTTGGAGCAAAGTCGCAATGAAAGAAATTAGCTGTAATTGCATTTTCTACGAGGCATGTTTTTTAAGTAAGTACCGTTTTGGGATTCCGCCGCCGCCGCGCTACGGTCGGCGTTCCGCGCATGAGCGCTGGTTACCTACATCTCTTGTCTACGCACTGACGGCATTACAGTCTGATTCTTCATTGTATACTTGTTTACTCCAGTGTTTAAGATGCCTCCAACAATCGTGAGGCACGCTGATTGTGAAGTACGGGCTGTTATACGATATCTTAGTGCTAAAGGCGTAAAACCGATCGATATTCATCGTGAGATCGTTGAAGTTTACGGACAAAACATTATGAGTGATGGAATGGTAAGGAAATGGATGAGAGCATTTAAAGATGGCCGCACAAATGTGCATGATGAAGAACGGAGTGGGCGTCCTTCGGTCGTTAATGAAAATTTGGTACAGAAAGTGGACGAAAAGGTGAGAGAAAACAGACGCTTTACAATTTCATCATTGTCCGACTGCTTTCCTCAGTATTCTCGTAGTGTTTTGTATCGCATTGTTACCGAGAACTTGAATTATTCGGAAATTGTGGTTCACGTTGGGTTCCAAAAATTTTGACGGATTTGCACAAAACCCAACGTTTAGGCAGTGCATTGACTTTCCTTGAGCGGTACCACAGTGAAGGTGAAGATTTTTTAGACCAAATTGGTACTGGTGACGAAACGTGGGTGGCCTACGTCACACCAGAATCGAAACAACAATCCATGGAATGGCGACATTCATCATCACCCAAAAGAGTGAAGTTTAAGCAAGTGGCAAGTTGAGTAAGGGTATCGTTTTGCTGCGTGACAATGCCCGTCCACATGTGGCTAATCAGACCAAAGATCTCATCAAATCATTTAAATGGGAAACTCTAGATCATCCTCCATACAGCCCTGATCGGGCGCCCAGCGACTACCATTTGTTCCTGCACTTAAAGAAACACATGGGCGGTCAGCGTCTTCAAGACGATAACGAAGTCAAAACATTTGTGATGCAGTGGTTAACAAGTCAGGCGGCACAATTTTATCAGGACATTATGACAAGTGCCTCAATATTCACGGAAGTTATGTAGAAAAGTAAATTAAGGTACATGCTTTCATGTAAAAATAAAATTATTGCCATATCTTTGCACGTTTTTTTTTAATTTCAAAACGGTACTTACTTAAAAAACACGCCTCGTATTATATAGGACCAGTTAAAAATGTTTTAATTTATTACCCTTGCTGCAAATAAAAACAAAGGACGGGGAGGGGAACAAGCCTTTTCTTACACAATATTATAAACCACTTATATTGCACTTAGGACCTTCATAATTCGCCTAGAAAAGAAAAGTTTTAATTACGATCCTAAGATACAACTGATCAAAGTTGAGCGGCATTTGCGACGAAGTCATAAACAATAGGATGGTAATCTTTGAACCACTACCTTTTTCTTTCTCGATAAAAATTTTCATATCTTCAAGATATTTATAATATAAATTATAATAATAAAACAAATCGGTATTGCTCGTGAAAAATACCAACAAAACTGCAGAAAATTGAATTTTAAAGTTCAAACTCGGTATACGTAAAAAAATGGATTTTCTCGGTGTCCAATGCAGCAATTTTATTCTTTTCTTTTTATCCGATGTATCTCGAATAGAGACACCTAAATAACTCACTACCAAATGACAAAGATGCTTTAATTTTTTTATAAATCAACTCATTTATTTATAACAAAATAAAACTACATATGTTTTCCTATGTTGTAGACTGTTTTAGAAAAACTTAGCAAACGTGTAACTTTTAACGCTCTTAATACAAATATTCTCGTTTGAAAGCTGTATAATTATTTAAACAATCTTTTTTAAATAAATTATTTTTTTTTCCAATTTTCCGAGACTTATTCGTCTAGGCGTGCTTTCTTGAGCTGTGGACTGGAAGGACTTTTTATTACTTCATCAAAATCTTCACTGCTTTATTCAATTTTTTTTGCTTTGAATATTTAATCTAATAGTTAATATAATATGTAGTTATATTAATATACACTAGGGTGCAAAATTAACCGATCACTCCGATTTTTTGTTTTTTGTAATTTTTACATATTTAATTTTTTTTATTAATGTTCCCCACCTATTTGTAATGTATCCAGTAATTATTATTACTTAAGTTATATCCTAACTATTTCTGTAAAAATGCGAATGCCACCCCTCACATTCAAATTTAGTTGTTTGTTCACAGATCCGCCCTGTATGTACACATGGATCCAACAAAATTCTTTTCCATTATGTGCATTCTAAAATGAGTGAGAATAAAGCCGGATAATATCCGCACTTCGTGAAAACGTTCATTTCGGGAATATTGTGCTAGCATAACAGTTGACACTGTGTTTACAAGTCATGAATTCTCGTACAGCGTTGTGTTTTAATCATAAAAACTTTCAACAAATTGACGCGAAATAATATAGTACGTTATTTTGATGTCAGTGCTGATAAGAGATTTATTTAACAACTGGTTGGCGCTTCAGGTGCAACAGGCGGCGTGAAAAAAATGTGCGACCTGGACTTAATGAAATAAACTAGTATAAACGAAAATATTATGGTTACACTTCCTACGGCTAATGTGGTCCTTTCTTGACTGGGTGCAGGTTTAAGAAAAACTCGAACCTTAATGTCGGCCCATGTAGATTCAGTCCATGAGCTGTATTGTCCTGATGACCAGTTGTAATCTATAATTAAACATACGTTAATTGGATATGTTTTAAGTAATACAGTCAACACTCGTTAACGCGTAAAGTCTATTGATCCCTCACTAACCTTTTTGCTATTCGAGAAAATGTTGCACATACAGAGACTATGTATATGTAAAAACAAGGTAAAGAGGGGTCTCAGTATATTAAACTCAGAAAATAATTACCTATTTAACTGCTTTATTTAATAAAATTTACAAGAAAGGAACAAAACCAGATGATTAGCTGAAGTCAGTGTTCATTTGGAACGTAGGCTTTGATTGATCGAACAAGAGATAATAAAAGTTTTTGTTGGGGGGTAAATATTGTCTTTATTCATTTGATTTGAGGATTTTGTAAATGAAACCTTTGACGAAAGGAAGAAAAGTTTTTCTATGATGAGGGTCTGAGTCTTTTGGTTAAGATGGAGCGGGGATTGAAAAAAGGAATAAAGACAATATTTACCCCAACAAAAACTTTCATTTCTTGTCCGATCAATCAAAGACAATAGTAAAAATGAACAACACGGAGTTTATGAAAAACAGCCGAATTGTCTCAATAAAAGAGATGACTGCACCTGGTTGCCTGCGAAATGGAGATCTCGACTAAAAAAACCATCATATGCCCCATCTAGCAATCCAATTTCCGCCATCAGCGCCGACATCTCCCCAAGGGTGCAATGAATAGTGAACAGTGTAGTGTCTGGGGACTCAACAGAGTGAGACCCCGAAAGATCTAGGAAGACATCAAAGAGGATGTCGAAAGCTCGACCCTGTGAAAATCGGCGCGGTTCAACCCGGAAACCTAGTGAGTTTAATATTAATTTTAGTAATAATATTAATCTTAGTTTTAGGTTTAATTGTACTAACCGCGGTAACCTTTCCGAACATTGTATATACAGGGTGGTCCTTAAGTAATTGTACAAAAAGAAACCGCAGATTCTACACTTTAAAATATTACGATTTAAGCCAAATTGCTTTAGTAAAATGTTGATATTAAGAAAGATACAGGGTGTTAAAGTGGAAATTTAAAATTTTATTTTTCGCTATAACTTTCATGTTTGTAAACATTTATGTATAAAAATTTATAACTGGGTACTATTAAATATAAAGAATTATAACTTGATGCATACTTTGATGTAGCTGATAGAGGGCGCCATAGATGCCACATACGTGGCATACATTTAAACTTAACTTTTTTGCTCTTCAAGTTACCAGTATTTGTGATATAAAATATTAAAGATACATTATTTTAACAAAAAAAAGGTATACCTGTTAAAAACTTTAAAACTCAACAGTTTTCGAGATAATCGCATTTTACACATTAACTGCATAATTCTGATTTAACGCAATTACTCCAGACAACGAAAGAAAAATAGATAAAAACATCAATACTTCTGAATTTTGTTATAAAATACATTTAATAAAGTTGATCGTTAACGAAATATAAAATAAAATATATAAATCAGCAGGATAATTAATAATAGGTTTGACAAAATAACACAACAATATGATTTTACATCGAACATTTTACGTTTTATATTAAATTAAAGTCATAAAAAAACATTTTATTTACAAACCAAATTGAACAATAGTTACAATAAAATAACATTATACTTTTTGTCAAAGTAAGTGTTCGATATGTCCACCAATTTCTTTAATTAATTTTGTCAATACATTTCATAAAAGATCGTCTCATATAAATTAGCATCATTGGTTCTAAAGAAACTGCTACAGTACTTATTATAGGTATGGAGAACTAATAAGGAATATGACTACCACGAACAATCCAACGTTCAGGAAATTTGTATTTAAATACTGTTCTCACTGTTAATAAGTGAGGAATAATTAAAATGTCAACGATTTGTCAAACTGTTATATTAACAGTAAATACACTTAGTTTTAAGACTACCACAACACATTAAAATACATAGGAAAACATTTTAATTTACAATTTTAATACAAAATTATATATTCTAAATTTTAAACTTACCTCTTTTAGGGCTTTCATAGAAAAAAATAATTATACTATGATAATTTCTTGTTCAAAATAATCTATCTCATATGAATTATATTATATTATCAAATTGTGTAAGAAATCAAAACATAAACAAAATTCCTACTCTAAAAAAGCGATAACACTTAATACACTTTTGCCACCTGCTGAACTGTCAATAAAATTTGAAGTATTTCCGTATCAGTTGCGAACAATTGTCTAATATATTTAATTAAAATTATTATTTTGTGTAATATTAGACTTAAAGAGTTATTTCATAAAATTTATATTATTAATAATAACAAATGTTTTTGGTTATTTAATCAATATAATTCTAAAATTTCCAATATAATGATTACATTTTTCTGATTATTCTACCATGTTGACGCCTATGAAAGATCGAGCAGTTCCGTATGGGTTTCGTATTATTAGCTGTGTTAGAAAAATTTAAACTGTAAGGTTGATGTTCTGGAAATTTTAAATACAGGTGACGTCACTTTGTGTAAATAGTAAAATAGATGTAGAAATCGTGACGTGCAAGTGTTTTACTTTGAAAAATGGTATACAAGGTAATTGGCATATCTATAAAAAAATCATTACCAATGATCCAAAGCATACGGATATTTAAAATTCATATTTAAAATGCATGTCGAGTGGTTTGGAATCACCGGTATTAATTTTTTACGGATATGCGAATTACCTTGTAATTTGAATGGTGAGATTTATTTACATTTTTTATAAAATAATGTTATTGATTTATTGGAAGAATTGTCATCAAACTTAAGGAGAAATGTGTGGTTTATACAAGATGGTACACCATTACATTACAGAGAATGGAGAATGAGAACAGTATTTAAATACAACTTTCCTGTACGTTGGATTGTTCGTGGTAGTCATATTCCTTGGTCATGTGGTGAGATATTAATATAATTATTTAATTCATAAAAATTACAAAAAATTACGTATTATTATACTAAAATTTTACATAATAATACTTATAATAAATCCTGCAACAGTTTATTTAGAACCAATGATGCTATTTAATATGAGACGATCTTTTATGGAATGTATTGACACATGAATTAAAGAAAATGGTGGACATATCGAACATTTACTTTGACAAAAAGTTTAATGTTATGTATTTAGTTTTACTATTTCTTAATTTGGTTTGTAAATAAAATATTTTAATTATGACTTTAATTTAATATAAAACGTAAAATGTTTGATGTAAAACACAATTATTTTGTTATTTTGTCAAATTCTATTATTAATTATCTTGATATATTTATTTTATTTAATAATTCGTTAACTATTAACTTTATTAAAGGTATTTTATATCAAAATTCAAAAGTACTGATGTTTTTCTTTAGTTTTCTTTCGTTGCCTGGAGTAATTGCGTTAACTCATAATTATGTAGTTGATTTGTACAATGCGACTATCTCGAAAACTGTTTCGAGTTTTGAAGATATTACCAAGTATACCTTTTTCTTGTTAAAATAATGTATCCTTAAAAATTTTTATCAAAAATACCCGTACCTTGAAGAGCAAAAAAGTTAAGTGCAAATGTATGCCACATCAGCGGCATATGTGGCGCCCCCTATCAGCTACATCAAAGTATGCGTCAAATTATAATTTCTGATATTCAATACTATCCAGTTGTAAATTTTTATACATAAATGTTGACAAACATGAAAGTTATAGCGAAAAATAAAATTTTAAATTTCTACTTCCACTTTAACACCCTGTATCTTTCTTAATATCAACATTTAATTAAAGGAATTTGGCTTAAATCGTAATATTTTAAAGTGTACAATCTACGGTTTTTTTTTGTACAATTACTTAAGGACCACCCTGTATACGTGACGAGAGCTGACTGTATGTAAATAAATATTGCTAATGTAAAATACATAAAAATATCCAAAATATTGACAATTTGAAAACATACATAATGTTTCCTTTTGAAACAGTGTGATTTGCAATTAAGCATCAATTTGTGCTGTTAAACATTAAAGTTTGTAATGATCAACAACAGTTTGAAAGAATATTTTTTCAATATTGTCGAATCACCTTGTAAATGACAGAAATTAGTATATTTTTGTTGATGTTCGAACTGCATAATTTGCGAACTGTTACAGAAAAGAACAATATATTTAAATTCATACCTGATATATTAAATGCTGGACTAACAGCCTTTGTTGTATTCATCGTTACTTTATAGCAATTAACAATATCTAGATCGTAAATACTTGTTGACATATTATAATACTTGAAAGCCTAAAAATAAAAATCACAATGATTATTCGCTAGACCGATTTTTATGAAATTTTACATATATATATATATATATATATATATATATATATATATATATATATATATATTCGGTAGGTCTCAGAATAGTTTGAAATCTATTTTTCATACCCCTAAGTGGAGGGTAGTCAACAATAAAAAAATTTTAAATTTTTTAAACAAAATTTTTGTTTAGTGTCAAAACTCGGATTCAAGAGCATCAAAGATGCATTCGATCAGGTCTTTTCTCCCATTCTGCAGTTGCAGAACACTGCCAAGAAACCGGTCATTCCATATTGTTCGAAAAAACCCATATTATTTCTAAAAGCCCCTTCTTTTATTCCAGGAAAATCCGCGAATCTCTAGAGATCCGAAAAAAAAATCCCCATAATATCAATCGAGAGGAAGGATACTACTTGTCTCCCATCTGGAATCTCCGTCTAGAACCGCCGTCCGGTCCCGCCACTACGATGCAGCCACATGATTGGCCAGCGCGCGCTTCTTGACGTTCGCGCCACGAAGTGTGCCGATACGTCCCGACACGACAGGCACCGCGACTATAAATAGAGCGGTAGCGGAGTAATCGTCGGATTCACTCCCCGCCTCTCGACGCGTTAGTGTTCTGAGCTGTTGGACGTGAATCCCTGTCCTGGCATTTGGTTTTCACCTCTGGCTGCGTTGAGTAGTTGAGTTACTGTGACCAAATGCCCATCTTGGTAGTTAGTATTCGCCTCTGGTTGCGTTGAGTAACTGAGTTACCGTTGCTAACTACCCATCTTCCTGTTCTTTGTTTTCTTCTTTCTTTCTTTTTTTGTTCTCCTGAAGAAGCTACATACAATTGTAGCGAAACGTCGAGATGAACCCATTTTTGGGTCACTCACAAATGACACGGTCCAAACCCGGAAGACGAATAAACTATAATTCTGACTCTGGCCGTGGAAGCCTACGATTTCAAAATTTTTGATTTTTAATTTTTCAAGATGTGGCAACCCTTAATGCAACCCTTAATTTTCATCCTTCTATCACTAACGCCTATGTTTTAATAGCCATATTGGTAACTTAAACATTTTAAGTTTGGTAGATGACTGATCAATTATCACTAGCACAGAATTAATACCACATGGAAGCGAAAAGGTCATGGTTCAAAGATGTAGGGATATCGAATAATCGGTATATTTCGACATATAACAATGCCAAAGTTATAGGTGTCTTGCAATAGGTGGAAATTGATGACCGACACCTCCGTATTATCAAAAATTTGTATTGGCATCAATGTGCAAACATACGAATTGGACACAACATGACGGAAGCAGTGGAAATACGACGTGGAGTGAGGCGGAGTGTTTTATTATCTACTCCAAATTTATTTTCAAAGAAGAAGACCTGCAAGGACTTACAGGGTAACCGAAGCATGTGATGAATATGGGCTAACACTTAATACTTCTAAGACAAAATTAATGGTTGTTAACAAAAAGAAGTTACAACCAACGGATATCAGAGCGTATGGAATACAGTTAGAAAGAGTCCACAATATTACCTACTTGGGCACAAACGTTAACGATAACTGAGATATAAATAAAGAAATAAGAATACGCATTGAAAAAGCCAGAGCCACCTTCTATAAATTAAAGAAAATTCTAATTAATAGAGATATTACATTAAACCTTAAAATCAGATGAATACGCTGCTACATATTCTCCACATTGGCCCCAAAATGGAGGCCTCTGAGAAGTGGATTTATCAACGAGTATTGCGGATAAGTTGAGTTGATCGAATAAGAAATGAAATAGTTTTACATCGAATGAAAAAGACCACCGAAATAACAAAATCGATAAAAATTCGAAAGTTACAATATTTCGGTCATGTAATTAAAAATCCAGAGAGGGTCGGTCATGTAATGAGACATCCAATTCTACACCTCATAATACAGGGTAAGATCGCCGAAAGGAGAGGCCCAGGCCGAAGAAGAACATCTTGCCGCCGTAAACAAAGTTATTATTGCTAATATGATCGCCAATGTTCGATAATCGGACCGGGTACTGAAAGAAGAAGCTAAACACACAAAAAAAAAAGAACGAGCTAACTAACACAAACTTAAGGGCCATATAACTAGTGCATCACACCATAAAAATGGGAGAGAAATTGATAGAGGAATAGGTAAAGAAACTGAATGATCTGAAAATCAGTTTGGAATTCACATGTTTGTTATTTTACTTAAATAATTATTTTATTCCAATTTCTTTTGATTTGATTTATTTGTTAACTTTTTGTTTTATTTTATTATTTTTATTCTAAAAATAGTTGGACTCAACTCTTCTATTAACTTTCCAATTTTAATTTGCATCTAGTTTCAATTCTATACTCGATTCTATTCTATGTCATAGACATGTACAAAATGTTTAAGATCTCAAGTCGTTACAAACTTTATTTGTCAGTAAGCAACTCGGTTTTGTCATGTCAGTCTTCACTTCTAAATAGTAGAAGGGAATGTTTTTTCTGCGTCTTTTGTGTACTTAGTCAGTTATATTGATTTAGTCCTCGCCATTCGCTCTTTTTTTTCTCTATTATATTTGTTATTATTTGTTATTATAAGGAATGTTTAAAAGTTATGATGTTGCTAACATAAGTTTGATTATACTGTGGATACTGAATCTATTGACCCTCTTTTGGATCTATTCCATACCAAGCATCTTCTTCTTATTGCGTCGTCTCCTTTCGAAGGTTGGCATTCCAAATGGTAATTGTAGCTTTGGGAGCTGCTACACGAAAGATTTCTGTGGATGAGCGGTCAAACCATCTTCTTAGGTCTTTCAGCCACGAGTTCTGGCGTCTTCCAACTGATCTTTTGCCCTGCACTTTACCTTCCAATATTATTTGGAGTAATTCATCTTTCACCTCTCAACGCATGACCCAAGTATTGTATTTTTCTCTCGTTGATTATACTGAGTACTTGTTTTTGTTTACTCATGCGCCGAAGTATCTCACCATTAGTAACTTTTTGTATCCATGGAATTCTCAGCATGTATCTCAGTCTGTACAGTTACATTTCAAAGGCATCTATTCTTTTTTCTGTTTCGGAGTCCATGATCCAACTTTCACAGCCCTACAGCAAAACATAGAAAACGTAACATCTAACCATTCGAATTCTGAGCTCTAGACTAACGTCTGATCTTGAAAAAAAAATGTTCATGTTCGTGAGTGTTTTCCTCACTTTTTCGATTCTTGACCCAATTTCTTTTTTTGTGTTACACTGACTGTTGATATTTGCTCCCAAATATTTTATGGAAGTTACCTGTTCTATTATTTGTCCTAGTGATGTAACGCACAAACCACGCATGTACGAAAAAACTACAGCTATTAGAGTTGGGTATCAGCTAACAGACGATATAAAGATAAAAAGAGGTGTACGACAGGGATGTATATTGTCCCCGTTATTGTTCAATACATATTCAGAGCACATTATGAACCTAGCGCTAACGGACATAGACGAGGGAATACTTATAAACGGAGAACGATTGAACAACATAAGATACGCTGATGATACTGTCATTTTTGCAGACAGTCTTGAAGGTCTGCAGACACTTGTCTCCAGGATGGCAGAAGTAAGTAGCAGGTTTGGGCTTGATTTTAACATAAAAAAACCAAATACATGGAAATAAGCAAACATAGGATACCACCTGGTCAACTACCAGTTAACCAACAACCTATAACACAAATCACCAACTTTTGTTATCTGGGTGCAAACTTAAATGAACAGTGGGGCCAATCGAAGGAAATTAAGATAAGGATCGAGAAGGCAAGATCAGCTCTCGTCAAAATGAAAAAAATCTTTAACAGCCACGACATAAAATTAGAAATAAAAGTCCGTTTACTAAAATGCTACGTATTTTCCGTTCTTTTATATGGCGTAGAGTCATGGACCTTAATGAAGCATCACTGAAGAGACTCGAAGCATTCGAGATATGGTGCTATAGACGCATGTTGAGAATTTCCTGGATAGACAGAATTACCAACGAAGAAGTACTACATAGAATGGGTAAAGAGCGCGAACTAGTCGTAACCATAAAACGTCGCAAACCAGAATACCTGGGCCATATAATGCGCAATGAACAACGATATGACCTACTTCGGAACATACTTCAAGGTAAAGTGCATGGGAAAAGAGGTCCAGAGCGGAGAAGAATATCCTGGCTGCATAACCTGCGAAAGTGGTTTAACTTAACCACTACCGGACTTTTCAGGGCAGCAGTCAACAAAGTCAGAATAGCCATGTTAGTGTCATCCGTAACGGATAGGCACCATAAGAAGAAGTGATGTAACGAATATTCGTATTCGCATTCGCAAAATTTGTGCGAATGTTTTGCGAACATGAATATAAGAAAAAAAAAATAATTTGAAGATTAGGTTAATAAAATAAAAATCCATTCTCTTCTCAGTTTTTTTATTAAGAAAACTCACTTGATTTTACAAGCTATATTAATTTTGTGTTTGTATTAAACAAAAATACTGCCCTCTCTTATTAAAAAACAACAATTGTCTGTTTTTACTTATTTTTCAAGTTTCTTTTTAACGATAAGTAAAAACAGGGAACTGTTATTTTTTAATAATTAAAATTTAATAGAGGATTATTAAACTTTAGAAATAAAATATTTGACGCCATTCCTCTGTCTGAAGTCTGTTTCGATGTGGCCTATAAAGTCCAGCGCCACTAAACAAGCGCTCGCTCGGGGCACTCGTTAATGGTGTAACTAAATATTGCCGAACTACAGGAAAAAGAAGATCGTACCTTCCCTTATTCACTTTCCACCATGTTAGAGGGTCGACGTTACCTGCCACGCGTTTTTCCGATGAGTATTCTGTGACAGTTTTACGGATTAAAAGATGGACAGAGTTTTGAAAACCAGGAAGAGCCATGTCATCTTCTTCACTATCAATCGTATCCATCAGTAAACTCATCGTTTCTTTTAAGGACAGACTGTTGTGTGTTTCGTAATCTTCGCATTCATTATTTAATCTAACACGCTTTGCATTCAGGTAAAGTGAATTGGAAGATATGTCGGTTTCATTGTCTCTGAGCAAATCCAAAATATGCTCTATGACAATCTCTTTAGTCGACGAATTTTTAAAAAAATTTGCTTTGTAGCTTGGGTCAATAAAGGTCGCCGTGGCAAACAATATTTCATTTTATAAACCCGAAAACTTGCGAATAACCTCATCTTTTATGACGGTAATCGTATCACCAATGTGTTCATCGGATGAATCAAGATCGTGAACAACTTTTTCTAGAGTAGAAATTAAGGGAATTACCGAAGAAATAGAAACATCGACAGCACTTAACTCTCTGGTCACTTCTTCAAATGGTCTTAGTAAACCGATAAGTTTTTCAACAATCATCCACTCTTCAGAAGCAAAAACTATCGCATTTATTATATTTTGTAGTTCTTGTGCGTTGCTTGCTATTAGGACGGTATCATCAGCGTACCTGATGTTGTCTATGCTGGTTTCGTTAATCTTGATTCTACCTTAAACCTCGTCTAATGCTTTTCTGAATACAGATTCCGAATACAGATTAAATAGTAGTGGTGATAAGACGCAACCTTGTCGCACTTCTCATCGGATTCGTATATTCTTCGGATGTTATGTGCTGTATTTCAATTGTTGCTGTTTGGTGCCAATATAGTTCTGAGATAATTCGCAAGTCTTGTTCGTCAATTCCAGTTGTTCTCAGAATTTCGATTATCTTTTGATGGTTAACGCAGTCAAATGCTTATTGATAATCAATAAAACATGCATATACATCTACATTCATGTCTCTGCATCGTTGTGTTAAGCATTTAATGCAAAAAAGAGCTTCTCATGTTCCCAATCCATTTCGAAATCCGAATTGAGTGTCACTCATCTGAAACTCACACTTCTTGTAAATTCGTGTATAAATTCTTCTGAGAAAAGTTTTAAAGACATGAGGCATCATGCTTAATATTCGATAGTTATCGCACTGTGAGGCATTGAATTTTTTTGGTAATATTAGGAATATTGATTTTAGCCAGTTTGGTGGTATTTTACCTGTGTCATTATATTCTTGAATAGTGCTGTTATTAAGTCGAGGCTTATACCATGTATAGAACAAGCATAATACCTAAAGAATGGCTCCAATCGACATTAAGACTTCCCAAACAAAGCCGATGAAAAGGAGTGTAAGTGACGTCTTGAAATTGTTTTTAAAAGTAATTCACAATAGAATTTATCTCATAAGAAATTAGATGAAGACATAAGTAATACACAAGTGGGATTTAGCAATGGTCTAGGAACACGGGATTCACTGTTTGCAGTAAGTTTTCTTTCAAAATAAACTGACTGAGGATATTCAGATTCACCGTGTGGTGTGCCAAGGTATTTTATCCCCATTGTTGTTTAATTTATACAGTGAAGTTATCTCAGAATTAGCCTAGGCCGAAGTCAATGAGGACCTAATAATAAACAGTGAGCCACTTAATAACATAAAATATGCTGACGCTACCGTCCTTCTGGCAGGAACACTACAAGAACTGCACCTTGCTCAACAACTAAATATACATTGCAACGATTATTATGGACTAAAAATAAATTTCAAGAAAACCAAGTTCATGATATTTACAAAAGCACAAAACATCAACGTTAAGTTAACACTAGATAATACGTACAAGTTCTCGAACAATTAGAAAAACAAAGTGAAGTTTTAAATTCCATAACAATCAAGAAGTTGGCATACTTGGAGCACATCATGAGAGGTGAAAAATAAGATAATAATAACTATATGTTGGAACAAGCAGTTATTTTGCGAATATAATGCGAATTTACCGAAATTTTTTTATTTAATTTTTTTTTTAATTATAAATATGAAATTAACAACATTTTTTATGATGTATGGAATTATTTTTGCGGCTTAATTAAATATTTTATATTGAATACTATGTTATTAATTGCTTGATAATCGAAAACTGCTGACAACTAAATGTTGGAACATTTTTTGTTTTTTCTCACATTTCTTAAACTTTATCAGCCTGACACAAAGAAGGCTTTGAAACCAAACATACGAGTAGGTAGTGCGTTGTCAACAATAATTGCCATGGCTCATTTGAGTATGAATAAAGGCAACTGCCAGTTTTATTACGAGTAAAATATAATAATGGTACGTGGAAACCCTATTGATCCAAAACTTCGAGAAATTATTATTTATCAGTACCATGAAGGGAAAACAATGCATGAAATTTCCAGTGAATTGACTGTAGCAACAACTACGTGTTTATTATAATTAATCAATATGGTGAAACTGCCAGTATTGACGTTTGCAGAAAAAGCTCAGGCCCTCCAAAAGCTGTTTCTCAAAGAAGTTAATTCGAATATGTAAGTCTGGAAGAAGAAATACACTACGAGAAGAAACCGTTAGAAGGAATAGAGAAACTGGGATGAATGTTTCCAGAGAATCCTGTTGGAAATATATCCACAAAAGCGGTCTTAGTTTTTATAAGGTATGTTTGATAGGTTCCTCTTTGCAACATAAATTTTCTGTTTTTTGATTTATTCGAGTAGGCCAAAGAAAAACCATTGCTGACGGAAACTCAAAAAAGGAATCGTTACATTTGAGCTAAATCAAAACTTTCGTGGACCAAACATAACTGGGACAAAGTTTTCTATAGCGAAGAAAGCAAATCTGATGTCTGTGTGGGAGATTATCGAAAGTGCGTGATTCGGCAAAAAGCATTCCATAAGCATTTTCTCTAAAGGACTGTAAAGATTCCACAGGGCATCATGGTGGGAATGTATGTCGGCAAAAGGGTTGGGAACATTACATTTTATTGAGGCCATAGTAAACGCAGCTAAATATCAATATATCATTTAATATTGGCCTCTACCAAGTGAGACATAGTTATATCCATTCGGAGATTTTATCTTTCATACGGAAGCCTCCTGCCATACGGCTAAATCTACCAAATATGGTTGGGATAACATGACATTAAAGTTTTGTCACATCCTTTTAGCAGCCCGAATCTTAATCCAATAGAGGCACTTTGACACAAAATGAAACAACGCCTAAGAAATAACCCTCAGCGTACTTTGCCACAACTACGTGCTAAATTACAAGAAATATGAGATAGTTTCACCCCTGAATTCTGTGAAGACCTAGTTGGTACAATCCCTAATAGAGTTCAGGCTGTTTTCAATCTAAGGGCGACGTTACAAATTATTAATATGTATTTACTTTAATATGTTTAAATTATTAATATAAATGTTTAATGTAAATTTAATATGTATAAATTTAAATTATTAATATGTTAAAATTTCTTGTTTGAAAAATTAAGTTGTCAGCGTGTTTTGGCTATCAAACAACTAATTAAATAGTAATCAACAAAAATTACATAAATACACTGTAAAAAGAATTTCATATATCATAAAAAATGTTGTTAATTTCATATTTACAATTTAAAAAAAATAACATAAAATAATTTCAATAAATTGGTATTTTATTTCCAAAATAACTGCTTGTTCCAACATATAGTTGTTAGGGCTCGCTTAAGGAATATAATGCGGAGCAAAATCAAAGGCAAAAGAAGCGTAGGAAAACGTAAAATGTCGTGGTTACACAATCTCCGTGAATGGTTTGAATGCAGAATTGAGCTATTCAGGTATGTAACCAACAATATTATAATTGCCAGAATGATTTCCAATCTCCAATAGGAGCGGATTGTTGTTCTCCCTTGTTGGCTGGAACTTCCTGAGCCTCGTGGTGCACCATATATGGATAAAAACTTATCGCTGCCTGAAACTACATCTGGTTCGATTCCCGGCATCTCCATCAACTGATATTCCACTCATTCAGCTACAACCGATCCAACCCCCGATCCGCATCTCAAACCATCAACTACATGAAGCCATAAGTATCAATTTCAAATTTTTTGTAAAGCTATAGGCAGGATTTGCTTTGTTGATATTAAAATTTCACTTAATTTTTTGTTAATACACAATAAATTTGATTAGTTAATATCATGTTTTATTTGTCCCAGCCAAGCTCATTTTTCAGATTTGCAACTAAGATAAGACGAACTTATACATAAGAAACTAAAGCTATTGAGCAAAATTGGCTCCCAAAGAAAGTTGCGAGTTTTATTGTTACACCTTGGCTCTCATCTTTCTGAGTTATATTGTTACACGGCAACAAACGCAATTTTCATCATAAGGCAGCTGATGAAAACATATCTTGGAAACTGATCCTAATTTTCATCGAAAAATCATCTTCAGCGTTGAGACCTATTTTTGAATTTATGGGTACGTCAACAAACATAAATTGTCAAATTTGGGATGATAAAAATCCAGATGAGATCCAAGAGCGTCCAATGCATCTCGAAGAAGTCACTCGTTGGTATCGCTTTTAGGCTGGCGGCGTCATCGGTCCATATTTTCATCGTTAACGGAGGAGAGTCATAAATCGAGGTTTTACCAACTTCTTTTGGCCTGAATTGGATGATATGGATATCAACGTACAATTTGAGGGCATGGTCGTCTCACGTGGATGTGATAGAAACTGGCCACCGAGATCGTGCAATTTATCACCGTTAGAATCTTTCTTGTGGGGTTTTCTTAAGTCCTGGACCACAAACCATAACGGCCCTCAAAGCCAACATGCTATGCCATCGGTTAAATTCAGCATAATTTTTCATTGATAATCATTTTTTAAATGTCATGAAAATTTTATATTCTATACATAACGGGACCAAACGAATAAAAAATGTCGATGATATCTCCCACAGTTTGTTTTATTTAAATTTAAAGATAAAAAGTGCTTATTAAAGATCCTATAAAATAGCTAAAATGCAAATTTACTACTACTACACTAAAGTACTGACTTTTGGTACTGGACGGATAAGCCCTGGAATAAGTACAGTTTATATGCTTTAAATTTACTTACATAGTTCCTTGGTTTATTTGTACAATTAATATTTCCTGGTCCTGCATATTGACCAGTAAACCAGCCCAATGTCAACGCTGCCAGGTTTGTTGCAAAATTTTCAACACGTTCTACTCCGACATATAAATTCATTGGAGTTTTTGGCAAATTCTACAAAAAAAATAATAATAACAAAAATGTAATTATTGTTTGTTTCCAATTAAATCAATAATTACAAAAATCCGAAATCCAGTTTGACATATATGACCGTCCACACGTGCCAAACAGTTTTCACTAATAAATCAGCAAACATTGTATCATATAATATTAAACTAAAGCAAATAGTTGTTTTAAGTGAACAGAAATTTGAAATTAACTTTTTATACTCAAGTTCTCAAACGTAATAGAAAATTGTAAATGAAACAGTAAATGCATATTTCACTTGATATATTAATACAAATGGTTTCAAATGTAGTGGCGAATAATTTCCCGAAATATTTTATCGCATAGACAATAGAAACAGCTACGCAGTGGCATTGCATGAGAATATTTTATAATTGAAACAATATGAAATTTAAATACAAAGAATTTCTAACCACTGGATTTGAAATGAGTTTTTAATTCAGTTTGATTATATTTTCCAGTTTCATAAATAAAGATGCGAATATGCGTATTAGAAACCATTTTATAGAATGGAGAGTTAAGTGTCGTACGAATAAACTTATCAGATTGACACCGGCTCTAATTAATGTTTTAGATGAGTACTTTAGAAAGCTGGAGGATGGTAAGCATAAAAAGAGAATGTAATACCGGGGATAACGAGAGATGGAGTTGTCGATAATTCAAATAGGATGAAAAGTAGGGTATATGAGGAAGAAATATTGCCCAATGCCTATAAGGAGAGCGTGATGGTATCGCTGAATAAAGATAAAGGGACATTCAGGACTGTAAGAACTATCGAGGGATACAGTTAATGTCGCACACAATGAAAATTTGGGAGAGAACTGTAGAGCAAAGATTAAAGAGGAAGACATCGATAGGAGAACAGTTTGGGTTTATTCCAGAAAGGACAACGGATGCCCCGTTTGCTTTAAGATAGTTGATAAAGAAATACGGCTAAAAGATAAGTTACAGTTAATATTTATAGATCTTGAGAAGGCGTATGATACAGTTTCTGGACAAGAACTATGGAGATGTATGAAAGAGAAATAAGTTATTAAGAAGTACTTAAGGATCGTGCAGAATATATATAAGGGATTATGTCGAATTGACCGAAAGTTTTCTAGTGACAGTTGGTTCGCATCAAGGTTATTCACTAAGCCCATACCTGTTTAATCATCTTATGGATGTACTGACAGAGAAGGTAAGAGAGGAGTTTTCTTGGTGCTCAATGCTCTTTGTGGATGATATCGTGTTAACGACAAAAAAATGTGGGAGGAGAAGTTGTAGCTTTGGAGAAGTACCATTAAAGAGGAAGAAGGAGGACGAGGGAGGATTTAAGGTTGGCAGGTCGAAAAGGAAGTATATCTGGTTGGGAAGAACAGTAATGATTCAACATGAAGCAACATCAAATTGCTCAGAGAAAAACAAGGACGGGTAGGACAATTTAAACACCTTGGCTCGTCCATAACTGAAAATGGGACACAAGATTGAGAAATTACCCATACAAGAGTGTGGTGACGATTAGCGGCGGTAAAGTGTGAAGATTCAGGAAAAGAAGATCGAGTTAGCTGAAATGAAAATGTTACGTTGGATGTTGGGTAAGACTAGAAGGGACAGGACCAGGAACAACTTGATTAGGGAGAGCCGGGGTGACAAAAAGGTTCAAGAACAAAGACTTCAATGCTTTGGTCAAGTCAGACGTAGAAATGAGAACTATGTGGAACGAAGAATGGAGCTGTTAGAAGTTGGAAGAAAGAGAGGTAGAGGAAACACGAGAAGATGAAACGACTGTGTGGCAGATAACTTGAGAGAGAAAGGTTTAAATGAAGAAGGCCCCATGGACAGAAATAAGTGGCGAATAAGAGTAAGGAACAGCGACTCCTGATTTTACCTATTGTCCCAATGGAAGGAACAGGTGGTTAAGATAACATAAAGTGAAATAAAAAAAAAGATAATTTATTTTTCAACTTCTATAATGTCCGGTTTATAGCGTCCTGCGCCGTCCGGTTCCCAGTCTCCATTCACATATATCGGCCCAGTCTCCGGACTGTCTGACTTTGTCGACTCCATTAAGCCATGTTATTTTCAGTCTTGCTCGTTTTTTTCGCTCAGGTGGCTGCTAATTCAATATTATATTCGGTAGGCGATGGTCTGCCATTCTTTTTGCATGTCCGTATTTCTTCTATGATGGTGGTTGTTCTGTCCATAATTTACCTTATTCTTTCATTTATTATAGTGAAGTCGTTTTACCCTGCTGTATTTCGGATTAACGCCCGAAAAATAATGTATGACTCTAGTTACAGCCACTCTGTTATGCTTTCCCTTTTCTACCTGCTTTGTGGTACCGAACCTCCTACTGGTCGGCTGTAGTACTTGAGGATAAATAAAGAGAACCGCTGACTACATGAGGCAAATCTGAACAGACACTTATTATTACTTATGCGACAAGCTAACACGATCCTACTTTACGTGCACTATTTCCATTTCTGCGCCAAAAATCCATTTCCAGAACAAGGAGTTAACAAGGAGAACAACTCTGCCTGTGTTAGTTGTGAGGTGAAGTGGATAGCTCCAGAACCGATCTCAAGCCCGAAAAAAAGAGGAGGGATAGAAAAGCAACGTCTCTATAGAAAACCAAAGTTCATCTGGCCCGGCTAATAGTACTCTGTGAGGGTCCCTTGTCTAGGGTTACAGACGAAGATCAAAGGTGGATGGAGCAGATGAGGTTCTATCCAATAGTCCTGAAGGCGGAAGAATATTAGAGGGAAGACTGATCCCTCAAGTCCTGAAAGACAAGCGTTATATGAAAACAACACCCTGAGAAAAACTTACCCGGTCCTCTAGGTAGAGGGTTTAGACATTTTGCCCACCCCCTCTCCTCCCAGTACATAAAAAATTATGGCAACGAAACATGCTAATGAATTTTGCATCATGGAACGTACATGACTAGCAAGGTAAAACGGACGCCGTTTTTCAAGAGATATGTATTATGAAATGTTTTTGCGTAGATACGAATTAAAACCTAGTATAAGAAAACTTACCAAATTTTTGTGAACGGCTTGATGAACCTTGCAATTCTGATCTTCCAAATAACAATGCAGCAGTTCATTTACCAAAACAACATCAACAATATTATTTCCATTATAATCACTGCCAGTAATTTCCTTATAAATACTTTTACCAATTACTTCTGTAACATTGGCAAGATAGTGCTGGATACTGCTTTTAGGTATTTGGTCCTCTTCATCTTTAGATACATTGTAATATTTAAAGCCTATGTTTTCGGCATCATCGAATATCGAATTGTAGAAGCGATTGGCATAGGATGTTTTGTGATCAGATATAATTAGTCCTGGAAAGTTGGGTATCGCCTTCTTAAACGTGTGAAGAGATGCTGGAGGTAAACTGTCAGGTACGTCTTCGAAGGAAATATCCACAGTTTTTTGTTGTTGAAGAATTTTAGTAAAATTGCTGACCTAAAACAAATTCAAAAACATTAATCAGTTGTAAACAGCTATATTTCTGCTTCTTTGATTAGTAATAATACAAAAAAGGAAAGATTTTCGTTGTTCTTCATTTCAGTTCTGAGAAAATGTAACAGAACTGAAAAAATGATGATAGTCTCATTACGCAAAAGGAAACAATAATTAAGGACCCTAGAAGTAAAGGGGTATAAGTGACATTTTTGTAAATATTGAGAAAACTGCATCGTCGAACTGAAAATCTTTCCTTCTATTAAGAGGTAAAGAAATCTAAGCGATAAGACTAGCAGGTGCTGTGTTCTAGCGGCAAGTTACTTAACTTCCAAGTCAACTGTGAGTAGGGTTTGGAAGAGAAAAGGTAAAAGTGCACTTGTACCCCTGTACCACTGTGTCAGACTGTTAGTTGAATTTGTTATCATTTCTGATAGGTAGTGATATTATAGCTCCTCTAAAGCTATATCATTTTATTGTTATAGTAACACTTTATTGTAAACTACAGTGTTTTACGTTATTGTAAACTACAGTGTTTTTAAGAAGAGTTCCTTTTTTTTAAGCTTTAAAGGGCTAGAGCTAATAATTCAAACTTTAATACTTACTGATTGATCCTCTCCTTTGGAGTGAACATAAAGTGTTTTGTTTGCGTTTCCCAATTGAGAAATTTCGATAAATAGCTCAATATTTTTTGGTATAATAGGAGGAAGTATATCTGATCCCTCAACATTGTCTATCGGAAAGTTTCCATAAACCATATCATATAACATTCTTTGGGAACCTATATAGTCATAGGTTTCTCCATTAAATAGGAAAAAAAGAACATTCTTTCTTGCTGAAACAGAAAACATTATGAACTTTTGAATAATCTAAAACCACAGCCTGCAAAACATTTTTGAAAATGTGAATAGCTAAATTTAAATTTAGTTATATTTTTCCATCATAGTTTAACCCTCCAGTGAGAGAAATTTGTTGTTTTTAAATGAGTTTACATTTATAAAACACAACATGGTATAGTACAAACAAGGCATAAGATACAAATTATAAAATTTCCATAATTAAAAAAAATATATCAATTAGCGCAACTAACTTCAAAAAAATCCTCTATACTGTAGTAACATTTATACTTGAGAATCAAATTTGTAGGCAGTAAATTCTCCGAACTGTGAATGCGATAAAGCATCGCATCAGTTGCCACGAAGCCAATATGTAATGATAGATATTCTAGCAATTTATAATTTAATCATTGACATGCAGCAAAATTATCATATTAATGATCGTTTTGTATTTGTTAAGGTATATAATAAAATGTATTTAGTAACTCAATATTTATGTATAATATTATATTTATCTTCTTCTCGTGCCACTCCTAGCGGAGATTGGACATCATGGCCACTGCGACTTTGTTAGCAGCGCGCCTGAAAAGTTCAATCGAACTACACCCGAACCATTCACGTAGATTACGAAGCCACGATATTTTTCTTCTTCCCACACTTCTTTTGCCCTTAATTTTGCCCTGCATGATGTTTCTTAAAAGTTCGTACTTTTCACCTCTCACAATGTGCCCCAAGTATTCCATCTTTCTAGTTTTTATCTCATTTAGAATTTCGCATCTTTTGTCTAAAGTTTGGAGTACTTGCGTGTTAGTGACGCGGTCCATCCATGATATTCTGAGAATGCGCCTATAGCACCACATCTCGAAAGCTTCGATGTTTTTTTATGGTCAACTGTTTTAGTGTCCAAGCCTCAACTCCATATAACAGGGTAGAAAAGACATAACACCGCAGCATTCGTATTCGTAACTTTATATTGATATCACGATTGCAAAAGAGTTTGCGCATTCTATTAAAGACTGATCTAGCGATTTCTATTCTACATCTAATCTCTTTTGTTTGATCAGTATCGCCTGTGATCCAAGCACCTAGATATTTATAACAGGGCACACGCTCAATCGTTGTATTGTCTATTACAAGATTAGCTCTGATGTTCTTTGATTTCGTGATTACCATAAATTTAGTTTTTTTCAAATTAATTTTCAAGCCGTAACTGTTATGTTGAGACTTTGAACGAGATGTTGTAGTTCTACTAGCGTTCCCGTTAGAAGAACTGTATCGTCAGCATACCTTATATTGTATATTTATATACAATACTTAAACATCTAAAATACGATAATATTCTTTGTAAAAGTCATATATGACAACATCGCATTCTAGGACCGGTCGAAAAGACATGGTAGATCAACGTTGTCATAATATAGAGAGAGATAAATTGCTCATTGACTTCCTAGCTTAGCATTCAGTAGCGTATCGTTCACACTGTTGCAGTGACTTTTAAAAATTAATCTTAATACAATATGATATGAGACTTATATTTAACTTTGTATACCTCTTATCACAAAAAAAACACTTTCAAATTCCATAATTTTGTACAAAACATACGAGACAAAGAAATTTTCTATGACATTTAATGACAAACTATAATTTTTTTTAATGACATTTTTTGTTTGTTACAAAAATTAATTATCAAAAAGACAGGTAGAGAGATTTACCCTGCTGTTATTTCAATGAAAGGTTTCTTTTCAATGGAATTACTTATATTTTAAAGATACTAATTTACATAATTAGGAAAATCCAATTCTGAACTTGCCGATTACATGAAGTGAAGTTTTACTTTTAGTGAATATAAACACTCACACATATATATTATAATTAAATAAAATAAATCGAATCGAATATACCTAATATATATATAAGAAGTATTCATTTTTTTTAAGAGCAAAGTATATTGGTACAAAATGTATTTTAGTTTGAAAACTAGGTTAACAAAATAAACTTGCTTACATACGAAAGTAATCTTAATAAAATGGTTCGACCTCCACAGGAAGTTAAAATATTAATCATCGTATGAAGACAACTCGTCAGCTGATGAAGAGCTATTACGATCACTATTATTTACATTGATAATTAATGCTTTAACCGAAATGTCCACCACTCTTGTGTCTAAGTCTCACATTCTATCTTCTTCTTTTATAGCGTGTCTTATACAATTTTTCCAATACTCAGGTGTGACATTTTGTATGGTAGTAGCTAACAAGCACTTCACCTCCTCCATTTTACAACTCAAGTTTTCCCTTGCCACTTGGTTTTTTATTTGAGCCCATATAAGCTCGATAGGGTTCAGCTCACAATGATAAGGAGGAAGGCGATGTACAATTATGTTGTTTGCATGAACCATTTCATCGACTGCATATTTCTTGAAAACGGGTATATGTATCCTCGCGAGGTTTAATAATTGTACTTTCAACATGTTGTCATCGAATGGTATATTTTTTTGAGAGAGCCAGTTGATTATTTCACCTTTTCGCCAGGCAGTCGTTGGTGATGGCTCCAACCGTCGACTGTGGTATGACGCATTGTCCATAACAACGACAGAATTTGCTTCAAGGCTTGGTAGAATATTTGAAAACCAACCTTCGAATCTTTGAGCGTCCATTTTCTCATGGTAATCCTTGGTTTTCTTGGATTCGAATAGTAACAAGCCGTTGTCCAAAAAACCCAAATCGCTGCCTATATGTTTTATTATGAGCCTCCGTCCTTTACCCACTGGTGTTTTTAATATTTTTGAAAGCTCTTCAATGAAGGCTTGTCGACGACTTTTAATTTCCAAATCTTGCCACACCTTTGAGACAATATGACCTTGATTTAGCCAAGTTTCATCTAAATAGTATACTTTTCGTCCTTCACGACGATACTCTCGGATTTTTTGTAAGTAATTTCTCCGCCACAAAACAATTTCATCTTTTTCTAAAAGAACACTATTCCTGCTTCTTTTTATATATTTAATGTTCATTTGTTCTAATGTTCGCAATAAAACACGTCGTGATATTTTGGGTATTGAATTATCAGAATTTAATTCAACTTCAACTTTTTTTTAAAAATTAAGCACGCTAATTCAAGGAAGTGTCAAGATCCCATGTTTCCGAAACAGAAGCCTGCACGATGTACCAAACTTGACCTTGCATAAATATCTGAAAGCTCTCTTTTGTAGCATAAAATTTCTACTGAAATGCTGAAGAGGACAGCCCTCCCAAAAGGCAATACCGTATCTCAAATTAGATTCAATCAGGGCCACATAAACTTGATATACCTACTGCCTACTTTTTGCAATCTTAAACTCTACATGGTGAGCAACTAATTTGACCGCAAAGCAACTCGATGATATCTTTTTGCTTAAACATACAGTGTGTTGCTCAAATTTGAGTTTATTATCAATATAACCTAAAAATTTGTTTACGGTGTTAGAACAAATGCCTTCATTGCCCAGAGTAATATTGTTTAGATAATTCTTAAAAGAAATTAATTGGGTTTTTGGAAAATTAAATGTCAAATTATTAGCTTTGCATCACTCGTAAGATTTTTAGCACATCATTACTACTAACACAGCCTCCTACAGTTACAAGCCATGAAGTAGAAATTTGGCAACGTCATATGGTAGTCCTATTCGAATGTGGCCAGATGATTGCAGTGCATTGTAAATGTGTGATATATGTGGCAGTTATTTGTAAATTATATTTTTGTATTTAATATTAAGTGTTTTTATGTGTCTAGGGAGTTGTTTAAGTTATCTGATTGGACTAATATTATTGATATTTGTACTACAGGTTGAAATAAACTCAAAGTAAGTAAAAACAAATAACATAAACATTGTTAGGTTGTGTGTCTAATTTTATTCTCAGTGTTTACAAAGAATCTTTGGTATTTATTAACGCAATCTTTAATTCTTTTTTATATTAACCCTTGAGGCAATAAAATCACAGTTTTTACAACAACTGTGGGTTTATTCTGTGGTTAATATCGTAATAGTCGAAATGCTACAAAAGCTTAAATGTTTTATTCTTTTCATTTATAGATGTCAAGACATTGTTGTGTACCTCGATGCCAAAGTAATTACACCAGCATTCTGAAAGTGGAAGCGCCTTTAAGCACATTTTCGATCCCAAAAGATAAACAACTATGTGATAAGTGGATAAAAGCTATCAAACGAGACAAGTATATCCCAACAAAATCTTCTGTTGTGTGTGATAAGCATTTTCATTCTGAAGATATTATACTTCACCAGACCTGGAAAGACAAAGAGGGCCATGTTGTTTCCGAAAAACTAAAATATCCAAAATTGAAATTAAATGCTATGCCTAGAATTTTCCCCAATCTTCCTTCATATATGTCTATTCCCAAACCTAGAGATAGAAGTGATCCAGATGAAAGACGACAACATCACTTTGATAGAGAAAACCACAAACTGGAACAACTGGAAAAAGACTTTGTGCAACAAGATTTAATAGACTCGTTTGATAACTTTATTAACAATTACAGCATCAAGATTAATTTAAGTGAGTGGAATTAAAAAGTGACGAATGACGGTGTATATTTTTATTTTTTAAACATTCAAGAGTGTAGTGACTCGTATGACATTGGTCTAAAAATATTAACTAGTGTTAAAATTTCTAAAAATTTTAAAGTTGCGGTATATATAGGTGAAAATTTATTAAGTGACAACGATTTAAAGTGGATTGTGGCAGATGGTAAATTAGAAAGATGGTCTCAACTGGAAAAGATCCTAACTCATTACATTCCTCATTCCTATTCTGATAGGAAAGATTTTACTTTTTTTTGTAAAAAATGCCCATAATAATATTTGCTCTGCTTTGTCAGTTACAGAAGACGTCAATAAATATCAAGATATGTTACAATTAATTAAAGATTATTTACATTTGATGCTTCAGAATAAGATACAATACGGTATTAATATTTTGCTATTTTCTCTATCTGTTTATAA